GACAAACCAATTAATTGCAGTAGATAATGGTTGCAAAAAAACACTTATAACCCAATTTTCAACTAGAATCTTGCGAAGTGGTGATCTAAGAAAAAAATTATTTTAGCTGTTTATCACCTTAAGATTGACAAAGGTAAGGAAATATGCAAAAAGAAAAGAACGAAACTGAAGAATACCATTTCCCAATACTTCTGCGGCCATTTCTATTCGCTTTTCAAGATCACTGCGACTAATGTTGAGTAACTTTCGAAAATGTTCACCGGACAATATTTTAGTAGAATCTTCACTGTTTACTTTCTTGGCAACATCTGATCCACTGACCTCAAGTTCCGACACCACAACCTATAATGAGAGAAAAAGGATGAAATAATCCATATGCTCAAATGTATACTTAACAAATATGAATATCGGACTAATTTTAAACGACAACGTAGTTCATACATTCTCATTTCTGTGATCGTTTTAATGGCAGACCGTGTCAACAGAAAACTGTTTTCTCACCTCAGCTAAATTTTTTTCGTTCGGATGACAATGTGAAACGGTAGATTCTCGTAGTCCACTATGTACAGCATGTGCCAGCACAGGTTCTGGTGTTGGTTGCGAAAGTACTTTATCTAGTGTCTAAGCAAAAAATGACAAGTAAAAACGTTTGGTGTCCGTTCAGAAATTTCTGATAGACATCACAACTCCCTTCCTAATTTATCCAGCTTCCTCTACCTACATATCTACTTCATGAAAAATTTTTTTAAACAAAATTAATTTTTCTTCTGCGGTCGAAATAAGAGAAAAAAATTAAAGTGTAAATGACAGCAAACGAGGATACCTGGCCCGAAAGAGGAATCGAGCTACGTAAAGTGGCCGGTGTCGGTAGCGTACTGCATTCCTCAATCAACTGAGAACCTCCTGCTGCCGACAGTTGGTCATCTAAAGAACCTAAAATAGTAAACTCAAAATCTTGAACAGAAGACTAATGAAATATGGCAGTTTCTTCCAAAAAAAAAATAAATAAATAAATAAATAAATGAATAAAAGCGACCAGTGACACTACATTCCATCCTAATGTATACAGTTCCAATTTTTGCTCTATCCAATTACATCTAACATTTCTAACATAATAACATTTTGTGCATATAGCTAAGTAAGCAAAAAACAAAAAGAAAAAAAATAACTTTGATAAAACGTAATAAAATAAAGTTGAAAAAAAAAGGTTACGTTTGCAAGTCGCTTACCATACAACTGACTGTATATTTTAGATTGATACAAGCCTATCCAATTTTTTTTATGACAGTTTAAAAGCCTATCATTCTAACATGCTGTTTCGCATAAACGAACCAAAAAATGAGCATGGATGAACATTATAAAAAAGCTTATTTACAGCACCACTGTTTATACTGCAGCTGCCAACGGCAACACAGGTAATGACGACAGAAAAAAAGGCAAATAAACGGAGAAAAAGGAACTAGAAAAGACACAGAACAACAGGAAGAAGAAAGAAAAGGGATAAGTATACCTCCAGCACCAGAATCCAAACTTTTATCATGATTTGAGTCTTCATCACAGTTTTTGTTCATAACATCCACATGCAAGTTGTCAAATTGGGCTACCAACTGTCGTACAGGTGTCGGTGTATTCACCATTGTATCCATCATCTTTTCACTTTTATTCGTTAACGATGGTGAATCTGCTGAGCCACTGAAAATTACTGTTCAACTATTTTCTTTAAAATAACTTAATACATAGGTTCACCAATAATCAAAAAAATGAAAAAGATAATCTTCCAAATACAGCTGAACAACATAGTCAGACAGTACGGTCACAATACAATGATTTGCAAAAACAAATAACGTCAGAAAGGAAGGATGAATGTTGTTTGAAAGCGTCAAAAATGACCAAAACTGTCGACCAAATTTTGACAAGACAAAACATTAGAAATGCACAAATTTTTT